TAATTCTTGTGCTATTAGTCATAACATCGATGATTGTTCTACTTTTAAGAAGAAGCTATTAGACTTGATCAAGTAGGGTTGGATTATTTTTTTATGGTAGTTTACATACTTCTAATATGAATACAAACCCACTCCTAAACCATATAGTTTCCAATATAAGAGATGAAGACACTAAGTGGGTTTGAAAGTTATGGAGAGGATTTATGTTTGTAATTTACAAGGTTGGTCTTTTATTTCTTATCGGATTTTGAATACTATTTCCCTAAATATTTGGGTTATACATAAAGTACATCATATCTTTGAATGAAATAATGCTTTTACTATTTGTTGTAATGTCATATTATTTGTTTCAAAATTAAAAAGATGCTCATTTAAAAGTATTATTTATCATTACATTTTCCTCCATCAAGCAAGTATAATGGAAATAAAATAATAATAATAATAAAAAAGTTGATCAAATTTAAAAGCTTGACGAACAAATGCTTGAGATAATTCTTCAATTCATTGAATCCAAAGATACATTTTTCCTTCCTAATAAATTTTTTGAACAAAAAGTAAGGGAGTAATCCCTTTTTTATGGAAACCAAAAAGAAATCCTTTTTATTTTCTCGATCGAACCCTCGAAAAAAAGTTTTACTTAGGAAAAAACCACCATGAAGCCTAAAATTGAAAGACTAAATAATTGATATCCTAGATAACGAGGAACAAGTACATCCTCGGTCATGATCTTAAATTACATTCATCATTTATTTTCTAAGGTTAACCTAAGGATTTTTCAAATTTATCATTGTTTTTCAAAAGAGATTTTTTTTTTTTTTAATCAACACATATGAATCAACCTTTGGGATGAAAAAAAGCCATATTTCATATATCTCACAAAATTTTATCACTTGTCATCCCACTTTGAATCTTAATGATTTCTTTCATGATAATCTAGACTAAGATGACCCCTCATACTAAAGGCAGAATACAAAGTCCATAAATAGTTGATGAAACTGTAAAAAAATAAAAAATAAATAAAAATAAAAAATAAAAAATAAAAAAAATCTATCAAAAGAGCCTTATTAATGATTCTAAAAAACAAAAGGGAATGTAATTAAAAAAAAAAAAAAAAAAAGCATTCCTAGTACAAATTATGAGTCTAAATGGAGGTTAAAGTTTAGATGAACAAAAAATGAGAGTTAAGGCTTGGAAACAAAGTCACAATCAGAATAACAAAGTCATTATACCAAGCCTATAAAAAGATATTCTCATGAATATAAAGATGACATAAAAACCTAATTGGCGACCAAAATGATAAAATCTAGATGACATTTCTTGAAGAAATTTCTATAGACAATAAAGTGATCTAATGTCATAAATCCTTTTAAACACATTTTTAGCATTTATGTATCTTTTTTTTTATGAGCCTAAGCTATAACCTAAATTACATGCTTTTATAATTACTTTCTAATCAAGGACAATTTGCTTAAGCTGATAAAATTTAATCTCTAAAAAAAATGATTGAAAAAATGAAACATAAAAAGAAAAAAATAAATGACCGAGTTGGTGTACTCGTTTATCGTTCTTTATGATATCAAATTATGAATTTTTATCAACTAACTTAGGGGTAATAAATAATAAAATCAAGATATTCCCAAACAAGACTATCCTTTAGAACTCGGCTTTTTAAAATACCTTTTGCTCAACCTTTTCATTTACCAAAATAGACTTATCATTTGATCAATCACCTTTAGTAGCATCAAACGACCAGTATTTATTCAAACCTTGCATGATCCAAACACATTTTCTAGTTTATCCCAATAAATTTCTTAAGAAAATTGCATCAAAGTATTGGAATGTCATGTTTTGACTTTTGATCAATCAACTTGAAAATCTTCATAGATGAAAGTAATTTCATAAGAACATCTTTGTATTTCTTTCAAATGATCCGAATTATATTCAAGAGAATCATTCAATTTCATAACTTAATTCATGAAAAAAAATAATCTATTCATATATCTTTCTTAAAATATGATCAAAATTTCAAGACCAAGTTGCAAATTATAATGCAAGCTTTAAAAGATAAAATTTGAGCACAAATAGTGGTTATATCAAGAAAAAGATAAATGCTTGATCTTAACTAATACTTAGAGGTATCTCATGACCTAATCTGAATGGTAAATCATAAAATTGAAAAAAAAAATTAGATGCAAGGCCAATGATGTAACTCTAACCAATTTCAACAACGGGTCAAACAATGGCATCATCATACCAACTAGAGGAACGAAGACCTAGACGAGTAAGTTTTTGAGCAATAATCAAAGTAGCTAAAACCATCAAGCTAGGTGTAAAAAGTGGTCCTCGGGAGGATAATGACTCAACAAAAGTTTGATAATCAATCGATGTAGTTGGGAATGGTCTCACTAGGGTAGATCATAACGAGTTGGTTAGTTATTAATTTCAAAAGTTTAAAAATGTCCATCTAGCTTAGTTTATTTACAAAAAAAGATGAAAATTCTAAGTTTAGAATGAACAATAATCAAGGTTTGGGGACAAATAAATTTTGATAGTATTGTAGGATATGATTTAGTACATAATTCTACATAGCTAAAAATAAAACACTAAAGAGGGAGTTCGAGTGCTGATAAAGGGCAACCTATGTTTCTCATATGTAAGAAATTAATCATTATAATCAGTCTTACTAATATATTTCAAGAAAATCATCTCAAAAGAAATGATGGAACCGTCATTCAAGTGCAAATTGAAAAGTCACAAAATCATAAGGGAGCTCACGTTTCTCAAATCATTATTTTAGTTAAGGTTGCCTAAAAATCATCTCTTATTTTTAGGCAGGATCACCTAACTTAGTTCATCATTTTAGGTAGAATTGCCTAACAATTATTCTCACTTCAGGTGAGATTGCCTAACTTAGGTTATCGTTTTAAATAGGATTGTCTAGCGATCATTCTCATTTTAAGCAAGGTCTCGTAGCTTAGTTTGTCATAGGTTATCTAGCGATAATTTTCATTTCAAGGGGCATCACCTAGCTTAATTCATCATTTTATCAAGGTTGCCTAACGATTATTCCGGTATTCGAGCGGTGGTCTCCTAGCTTAGTATATTGTTTTGGTAGAGTCGCCTAATGATCATTCTTATTTCAAGCAGGCTCACCTAACTTAGATCGTCATTTTAAGTCGGGTTGCCTAATGATTATTTCTCTTATATAGGCAAGGTTGCCCAACTTAGTTTGTTATTATAGGTAAGGTTATCTAACGATCATTTCCTATATTTAGATAGTGTTGCCCAACTTAGTTTATCATTGTAGTAGGGTTACCTAATGATAATTCTCATATTTAGGTGGAGTTATCTAGCTTTGTTCATCATCTTAGGAAATATTATCTATCAATAATTCTCATTTCAAGCAAGGTAGCCTATCTTAGTTTGTCATTTTAGGCTAGGTCGTTTAGCAATAATTCTCATTCCGAGTCGAGGCATTTAACTTAGTTTGTCATTTTAGGAAGAGTTGCCTAACGAACACTTCTCAATTTAAGCGAGGATGTCAAATTTAGTTCATCATTTTAGGTGAGATTACCTAACGATTATTTCTTTGTAAGGAGAAATATTGTAATTTAAATAATAACTTCCATTACGAGTAACACCATATTTTTAAATAGGCTTACTATTTATATTTCCTATTAGAGTAAAGGGAATGGATTTTTTGTCTCTCTTATTGTATTTGTGGGAAGGCATTGAACAACTAACTCGTCATAACCCATTTCGACTCCTCGTTTATTTTGATATATATATATATATATATATATAAACAAAGTGAGAAATTAAAAAAATGGAATGTTGCATAGTTTGTTTTTTTTTTCCTTGATATTTAGGCATTTTTATAAATTTTTAGAATTCTAATTTTTTTTAGAATTATTCCTTTATTTTAATTAAAAAAGAAAAGAATTAGAGAAAAAAAGAAAAGAATGAAAATATTGAGAAGATGATTTGGGATCCAATCAAAAATAAAGTGAAAAACGAGGCCCACGTGACATTCAATTAGGGATGCGGTTGAAAAAGGATAAAAATTAATAAACTTGATTGAGAATTAATCGGTGTAAAATAAAAAAAAATTAAGAGAATAGGGATTAAACAATTTCAATTAAGGAGTTAATTGGAGATAAATAATAATATATATATTAAAATTGATAAAAATAATCCAATGAAGGATTTAAAATGATTTTATCCCAAACCTAAAAATTCCTATATAAACACCATTTTAACTTCATTTTGAGGGGCTTCGATAATCATTTCCCTACCCCATAAACTTAGAAAGCAAAAATGTAGGGCAATAACTATCTACCCTAACAAAATAAACTAAACTCCTACCATCTTCATCATCCAATTGAAGCCAAAACATAGTTCCACCTTCAACCATAGCTATTTCCACCTCCCGAACACCCCTCACAACCATTATATCTCCCAAACCCCCTCATCCTTGCAAACTCTCTCAACATAACCACCACCTCCTTCATTCTTTTTGAACTTTTTCAGCTTCTAAACCACATTTGTAACTCTTGCAACTCTCCTTCTCCACACCTAAAACAACCTCATTCCCTCTCATAGACAAATACATAAACACCTAGTGTGTATACCTCTCAAAAGCACCACTCACTCCTTCACCAATTTCTCGTCGCATCCTCTTCACTTCCACCAGCTCGATCTCTATAAACCCTCCACTAAAAATCCATCTCTATACTCTTAGCCACTATTAACATAGTAACCACTACCTTTGAAACCTCTACAACCCACTACTCTAACAACCCTTGTTATTGTCCTCCTCTCTTTGCTAGTCTCCCTATAAAGAACCCTACTTCATCATTCTTCAAAACCTCAAGACCACCTATACCATCCTTATCCCAACCTAGCGTTAAGACCACTAACATCAAACCTATCCACTATTACCATTCAAAACCCTATAAGCTAGCCACAAACATAACCTCACTCCACAATTTTACTTGTAACTACTCAACACCACTCGACCTTTCAATCGAAGCCTTATTCACCATACCCTTCCACTCGCATTTAGGAGTAACCTCTAAACTTATTAATGAAGACCTAGTTACTAAAAAATAATGAATGGAAGAAATAAGAGATGCCCAAGGTGGGAATCATAGAGGACTTTTAGATAGTTCACCAAGTACCAAAACCAAGCTCCTACTAGTAATCACAAACCAACCCATCACTACCACAAATCCATTAAACCCAATTCTCTACCTTAACGGACTCATTCTCCTTCATCTATACCAAACTAGTAGACCCTTATCCGTCTATAATCCTTCCTCCATCAAGTAACAATATCAACTCGTCGACTACCCATAACCAAGCTAAACCCATCTTCCTCTCAATTGTCGTCCTTGCTAACCAAAATCATCACTAAGAGTATCCACGAATTTTCCCATTCATAATAGTTGATCCGCACCAACATAAAATCCTAAAAATCATCCTAATTCTTCTCTCCTACAAAACCATTATCGCCTCTCTTTCTCATTCACTACCTCAAACTTGTACCTCTAGTCATCGCCACCATACAAGAAATGTAGTCCCATCTCGACAATTAATCCCTCTCCTTTGTTTTTCTAATCTATTGGGTTTCCAAATGCTAGTCGTGTTTGCAAAGTTATGGGTTTATGTTTGTGAATGTCGAGGGATATCTCTTTTTGTGATTATAGCATGGGAGGTACAACCTTGGCTATGTTTTTATTTGTTTTTTTACTATTGTTACAGTTTGAGTAATGAATAGTAAAGGCAAGAACAAGAAGATGGAGAGGAGATTGAGAGTAGAGCGCTTTTGTTGTTTATAATAATAGGGGTAGTTTGTCATTTTTAGTATTAGGAACAGCTTTTTCTTTTCCACCAAGTGAGGGCGTTTCATCTTTTACACCAAGAGGGACGTTTTGGTCGTTATCGCAACATTGCAAAAGGGCATTTTGGTGATTTTCTTATGAACATTCAATTTGATTTCTTGTTCTTGTTTTAATTATTTTATTGTATTTTTTTGTAATAATTTTTAGTTTATGAGTGTTAGAAAACTTAGAAATATTTAGGGTGTGAAATTTATTTTAATATATGGTTTTGATTCGGTTATGATGTTAGACCAATGAGTCTCCCGATTTTGATATGTTTTGTCCAACAATGAAAGTGCTAAAAAAATAATAAGGAATTAATTCGGGTCAATTTTATGTAAAATTTTGCATAAATATTTTTAGTTAATTAGGTCATTCCTCGATCTACCAATTGTGTTAGGACTTAAATTTGGATTCATTGCTAAATTGACGAAACTTTCAAATCTTAAGAGCCGATGTTAATTTAATATGATACTGTAAATAACAAGGGTAATAAAAAAATATTTTGATTAAGATAAGTAACAAAAAAAAAAAAACATGCTAAGTAATTTTAACAAGTCTCCTATCTAATAGGAATTGATGTTATCCCAAATCGATCATATTCTAGTAATTAGGTCGTTCTTTGACATACCAATTACATTAAATCTAGATCCGGTGTTGAATTGTTGAGACGTTTAACAAAAGGGTCCAACAATCGATTCAATATGATACCACCAAAATAATAATAATAATTTTGCATAGGAAATAAAACTTAGAATTTTGACTTAGGATTAATTTTGGAAAAAAATATCAATTTTTAAGAGATAAATTTTAGTACTAACTTAGATGTGGTTCTTTTCTAAGAAAATGATGCTTACGGGTGATTGATACCTTCTCAAAAGTATAACTAACTCCTTATTTATAAATTCTTTAAACCAAGTACTAATTTTAGGTTTCTAATTACCTTTCATGCTAGTTGGTGACTCTAAAATCAATATTAACTCACATCTCTAAATAAATAAATTTCAACTTATTATTTTGGAAGTCCCACGAAAATCAAGTAGTGACACCACACAACCATAGAATTAAACCTTGTCTTGCAATTTCTGCTATTTTTCTCGTCCATCTCAAGCAACATGCATCATAGCTATTTTCTATTTGACTAGAACATGTATTATCTATTCCCTAGGTTCGCAAGAAATTAAGTGCCTAAGGAGGGGTGCAGAATTACTATTAGATGTAAGACCCAATTGCTGATGATCTAAAAATAGTTCTAGAAGGCAAAGAGTTTTCATCTTAATTTTTTATATTTCCTCGTGTAATTTAGATATGTTTTGCTTCTCTCTTTCATTTTAATATTTTTGCTTGAAATGTAGTTCTCTTTACTCTTCAATTGTGTACCATGCTAAGATTGTTGTTTTTCATTCCAGCATGTTCTTATCTCAAGCTCTGACTCTGAAGATGAGGGTCCCAAGGCTTCAAATATTGCGTCAGATCAATATGTTGGCTGTTGTTCAGGAGGTTATATATGGAATCCTATTCAAAGCTGAAAGTTGAAGATAGTCAAGGTAATGATATAACTTGAAGCCAAAAGACATCAAGTTAAGTCGAATTATTCTTTAAAGTGTTTCATTTCATGTGTTGTCAGCTAAATGCAGATCAAGTGGCTACATCTTCTACCCCTTTGGAGATCTTAGTTTTCAAAGATTCCTATGTTATATTGAAGGCGGTCAGGTAGTATGCTTGGCATCATAATGAGGTTACCACACTGAATGAACACGACTTTAACATATTCAAAGCATTTCTTAGGTTTTGGTCCTCTCCATTGGCATTCATTTTATAGTTCTTGCTATAGCATTTATTAATTCTATTTTGTAAATGACTTTCAGGTAGATGGTATGAAGAAGCCATGTTCTGGTTCAATGGACGGAAACCCGCCAAAAGAGATTTTGTGGAAAATTTTCCCACACAGACTATTCTTTAGTCGTGATTCTACACATACATGGGGTCCTGGAGGAGTTGCTTTCCTTCATCCTGAAAGAAGCCATGTTCTGGTTCAATGAAAAAACTTACTTGTGCCCGTATAGAATAACGTATGTTCCTGTGGGTTTTTGTTGTTCTAATGTATATTTCTTCCTCTCAATGTTTTAAAGATATACTGCGGAGCTAACCACAGAATGCTAATTGGTAGTTCTGTATCTTTCCACATTTGTGCATTAAATTCAATCTGTGAAGCTCACACTGCCATTCTGAAAGGCAACACGGTATAGAAAACGCCATCCCAACCCCAATTCTTACGAGTATAGCTTGTTGCATTGGTTTATGCCACCACTTAGCTATTGACTTTTTGTAGAGGCATGGAGCCGCATAACTTACAGGATCCTGAACTAGAAAGAAAGCATTTATGGGCACAACTTCATCAAGTTTGTCACTTTGCTTAACAAAGAAAGTGCTCCCCGTTGCCAGTACCAGACCAAATCCAAGGAGTGTTGTCCACAAGGGGATCAAAGTAAATAGTTGCTTTACTCGTTTCACATCTCTTGCCGAGCAAAGTCTTCCTCCTTGCACCTGTTCTTCTAAGAGAAGTGAAGAATCTAAAATAGCAGCTTTGTCCAACCACCTGCACAAACCACATCAAAATTATAAAGAATCATTCAACTCATATTATAATCTTTGGCTTACATTTAGTGGTATCGGGTTTGAGTTGGTTAAGTTTCAGATAGTCAACCGAAAGCTAGACATGTTCTGATGCAGAGTTTACCAAATTCTCGCACACCTCATTCTCTCTCTAATTAAAAATAAAATTTTAGCTCAAGGTAAAGGAGCTTGTATATTACAGAGAGACACCAACCCGAAGATTCGAATGTCGGGCAACAGGACTAGTTGATCACTGTGGTTATCATAGTAGTCGTTGGAATCATTAGGGTACCACAGGTGGAGCTTCATCATAGAGGCCTTGAAAACTCTATAAACAATGGTAAGAGGGCTTCCAGTTGGGTTTTCAAAGTAGTAAAAGCGGATGCCAGACCAAAAGATGAAATAATTAACTCCCATCGCTTATGCTGGAATGATGAAAATCATTTGCTCGGAATAACTTCCAGATATGATCAGAGATGCAAAAGCACCCAACACCGAAGCAAGAAACCGCCATACTTTTACACCAGCAGCAGCTTGGCAATCATCCTTGTAAACGTAAGTTTTATGCTCAACTAACTGATGGCTTAGAAATGCTTTTAAAGGAGGATTCTTACTTGCCGTGCCCATTGCCACTAGTACCATGATCACAATAATTGGTACATTAGTGTTGGGGGCCAGTGTATTGGCAAACCAATTAGTACGACACAGAAGCATCAATCCCTACAAACAAAATTAAGGATTTTTTATTTAGTTTCCAATTACAGTATATATAATATTCTTCAGGAAAAAGGAAAAACTCAATTCTTTTAGAGTAAGTTATAACTTAGTCCACATGTTTTTTATGATTTTGCAACTTAATCTTAATGTCTCTTTAAAGAATAAATTAGTTTCTTGATCGAAGTTGACTGTCAATAGTTTTGAAAATGTCTAAATTACCTTTTTTTTAATGCACTTTTAATTTTGTATATAGCTTTAATATTGAAATTTTTTAATATAAATAAAAAAAAATGTTTTAGAACAAAAAATAATTGTGATGAAAAACCAACACAATGACTAAGTTTTAATCAAATATAAAAACTTAAGGAGTTAGTATTATATTTTTTAAAACAAAAGGATTAACTAATTAGTTCGTTGAAAAGACGAAGATCAATTGATAATATACTTTTTTTTTTATGGTTTTCGGTTCATTCTTAAAATATCCTTTTCTAGAAGTAATAAAATAATTGTGGCATGCATATGTTGTAAATGCAATACAAAAACAAAAATATATGTTTTTAGCTGTGAAGATTTTTCAGAGAGCTTCTGAGATTTTCTTTTGTAGTTTTCTTTAACAAGGATTATTTTTTAGATGAAACCTCAATAGGTTTGTTTAGTAGTTTAAGAGATTTGTTTTCTTTTTTAATTTTTTTAGATTTGAATCTCGAGATCAACATTTGAAAAAATTTATTAAATTTTTCATAATGCACTTGATCGATTTAGAGGATTGATTCTTAAAATTGCTCGAGGCGAGACTTAGTCTCATTAAACACACAACCTGACCTAAAAATATCTTTACCTTTCAAAAAAAAAATTCTTGAATGTAATTATAATTTTTAGTTTGTGAATGTAAGCTAGTCCATTGGAACTTAATTTTCATAGGATAAATTTTTGTTGAAGTTGAACTACTATTACTAGTAATAGTGGAGTTTTATATATGAATAATGATTAGGTGATTAGCTAAATTGTATTAAAATTCACTTGGCCTTTCTATTGGTGTTTGCTTCACTTGGAATTTAGCAAAAACTTTAAGTTTTATAACATTATTATGTTCACATAATTTTCTCGAGTTACCGAGGTGTTGTTCAATTGATACTAGTCTTTTCTTTTTTAAGGAATTTTGAGTTCGAATCCCTTCTTTATGTATATATTTGTATGTACAAACCTTTTGATAAAGATGAATTTATTTACATAGTTTTATATATACAAATATATTTACAAGTGGCGGTCTCAACCTTTTTTTTAAAAGTTGTCAAACTATATATTATATGATGATGAACAATTTATGTAGAAGTGTATATTATGTGTGCTACACTCTCGATCAAGGACTTAAAAAGGTCGAAGATATTATCTACGTTGGCTTACATTCGAATCTCTTCTATATGTATATGTTTGTATGTACAAACCTTTTGATAAAGATGAATTTATCCGCATAGTTTTATGCACACACACGCGCGCGCGCGCACGACCCTTTTATAAAAGTGGCCAAACTATGTATTATATGATGATGAACAATTTATGTAGAAGTGTATATTATGTGTGTATCTATGTATTTATGATGCAAAACATTTCACAATTGTAAAATAATTTTATGAAAAAGAATAATATACTCAGCCAAAAAGAAAAAAATGCAAAAAATATTTTTCTAGCTAGAAATTTTGAAATTACATTCTTACATATCTTTTAAGAAACAATTTTTATAATAAAACAAGATTAAAAAAAAAAAAAAAAAGGAAGGAATGAGATTTTTTTTTTTTGGAAAAAATGAGAGAAATAAGATTTTATATAAGCTAGGAAAAGAAATACTAAAAAGAGAATGGTGTGTGCAAGCATTATCATACGTTTTAAATAAAAAATAGTTATATAAGCTTTTTATAACCTACTAAATATGAATTAACGGTTAGTGATTTAATTGCATGATAATAAAAATGATAATTAAAGGTGTTTGTAACCATTTGTATAGCCTAACTATATATATATTCTATGTGATTTTATAAAAACTAATCTTTGATTGTGTTTTTGAGCATGCTATAAAATATATTGTTCTACTCTAAGGTGTTATTTGGTAATAAAAAATGAAATTGTAAGAATAAAAATAAAAATAAAAATAAAAATTTTATTTCTACTTTATAGGTGTTTGGTTGAAAATATAAAATAAGAACGAAAATAAACAATGAAAATGAGAGTAAAAATTAAATATGGTTTCAATCTCTCATGAAAAGAGGAGATAATTAAAAAAAAATGTAAATGAAATTTTTTTCATCAAAACAATGATATGTTATTTTTATTTATCGTATATCAATTATTTGTATCACCTCCATCACTATTACCACCACCACCACATGACCATTGCCACTATCATTGGTGGTTGTGATAAAAAAAATTTAAAAAAATTTTAATATTATTATTATTCTCGTTACTACTTCGTTTCACTACCATTGTTCTTTTTATTACACCACCATCACAACTTTTTTTTACCGCCATCTCCTATTGTGGTGGTATCATATTTTTAAAAAATATATTATTATTATTATTATTAACACCTTCTCCTTCTCTACTACTAATCCATCACCACCACCACCACCATTACACTACTACCACAATTAATTCTATTACTTTTACAACCATCACGATTGATAAAAAAATATATATTTTTTTAATCATTATTTTTAATTGTTTTAAAAACCAAATATTAAAAATTGAAATTTTTTTAATTTTTTATTACTATTTCAAACACGAGCATAAAAATATCTATTTTTTCATTTTTATTTCTTAATTTTTATTTCAATTTTTACAATTTTATTTTAGATTTTTTTTATTCATGATAACCAAACAATACCTAAAAATATACTACCAAGTGACATTTTATTGTCATACTTGTTTAGTTAAAGTCGAGTACTTTGCAAGTCCTACTCACTTTATAAGTAGTTGAAGTGTATAAAGTTATGGCAAAGATGATTGGACTGTTACATATCCGAGATAGCTTGGTATATATGATTGATTTGTTACGTCGGATAAATTTTGCAAACGATGCATATCTTCAAAAAAAAAAAAACAATTTGGTTTATTCATTAATCTAGTCATCTTTATCTTGTTCAGTCATGATGATTTTGTTAGTTAAATCATTATTATATGATTGATCAGTTACATCGGATAAATTCTACAAACGATGCATATCATCTTAAAAAAACAATTTGGTTTATGCATTAATTTAGTCATTTTTATCTTGTTTAGTCGTGATGATTTTGATATTTCAATCATTTTTATACCATGAAACTATGATAAGATAATTTTAATTCATAATATTCTTAATAGTCAAGGTAAAAAAAAATTCAATTCTTTATCCATCTTAATTTATATTTATTTATTTATTATGTAATTTTTATTATTTAATTATTTTTTATTCTAAAAAAGTTACTAAGTAATATCAAAAAAATCTTCTAATTGAAAGGTGCCATTTGAAAATATAGATTTTTTAGTTTACATGAGGAACTTTTTTTTTTTCCCAATAATGTTAATGATTTTGCACCTTTATATACAGCGACATAAAAAATTGGATGTTGGATAAGTTCTACCACAGAAAAAGTAATGCCTTTTGAGATGAAGGAGTTATGGAGGAAGGGAGATCCTACGATGAAGAAGGCAGCCTTGCAAAAGTAGATGTTATATTTGATCCAGATAGCTACTGCATAGAAGAGCTTGTAAAGCCGTTTTTGAGGCCACAATTGAAGTTTAATATCTAACACAAACGTTGTTTCCATTTTGCTGCTTCGGTACCAAAGGAATGCTTAATTTTACAAGTACATGAGCTTATATAGATAGATACTAGTTTTTTTACCCGTGCTAAATTACAAGTTAGATAAAATATATCAAATTATTTACAAAAATTATTTTAGTTTGATAATCTGTTGTATGGTGTGAACCTATAAAAATATATGAAATCAAAATTGAAAAAAATTATTTATAATTTTTTAATAAAAAATTGTGTATCTAACTATTTCTTATTTGTGTTTTTTATACTTTTTCCTTTAGAAAAAGCATTTATCCTTGTTAATCCATGAATTATTAACTAAAAAGAAAATTAAATAATTTTAAAAAAAAATTAGTAATTCATAAGGCTATATCAAAAAAACATAAATAACAATTATTAAAAGCTTATATAGATTTGAAAAAATAATTTTTTTATTTAATGTTGATGAGAATATCTATTTTTGAAAAAAAAAGTGAATTTAATTTTTATATATTTATTTACAAAAGAATGAATAATATTAAAATAAAAAACTATATTACTTTGAATCATTGAGTGGTTAAGCCAAAACATTATTTTAATTATTTAATTTAAATAAGTTAATTTTAAAATATTCAAAAATAAATAAATAAATAGTAAATGCTTAGTGTAGTAGTAGTTCCATAGTTAATTTCTAAAAAAACAACGATTCAATATCTTTTTATACATCATAACTATACTAAGTGAGTTCAAAGTTTTCAGTTTAAAACAAAAATACTATATAAAAAAAAAGTTAAATTGCAAGGAATCTATTGACCAAATTTGAAGTTAATAGACTAAAATAAAATTATTACAAATTTGATTTCAATTAATTTTGATTATATAAAGAAGAAACAAATTAATAAAAAATGCGAATTATTTTTCTTTTTTTACCTCTCGTCTTAAATTTTTTTTTTATTTCTATGCTATGCATGGTCTGGTCCTTGAATACGAGCCTCACGTGCGAGCAAACATATTCTTTTTATTTTTCACATTTGACTTTCAACTACTAATTAATTAATTTCAGTTTTTTCAAAAAAAATTGAGAAAAAATTATTTGAAATACACTTTTAATCTAAAAACATATCTTAGACAAATTATATGTATTAATCATGCCATTATAATTTAAAAGTTCTCTAAGTCTATTTATCAAAAGAAAAAATAAGCATGTTCTAAAAACTTATTTCAAAAT